CTATAAAGACATGTCACATATATATGATTAACTCTAGACCAGGGCCCCCCAACCCCTGGTCCGTGGACCAGTACTGGGCCACGGCATGCCAGCAACCGGTCTGCAAAAACAAGCAAAGCCCCATCTGTGGGTTGCAGGCAGCACACAAAACCACACACCCTCTGGTCCACGGAAAACTCTTTCCATGGAACTGGTCTCTGGTGCCCCAAAGGTTGGGGACCTCTGCTTTAGACCAAGTAAAACACTTTGAACTTGTTTTACTTGGTCTAGAGTTTAATGAATTTACTTGGTCTAGTGTTTAATGGATTTAATGGATTTTTTCAAACTAAAAATAGCCACTTGGTGCAGTGAGGAAAGCGGCAATATAGTTAATTATTAAGATCATAGTAAGCACAGAAGGGGACTTTAATCTTTTCAGAAATTTGCTTCTTCCAGGCTGGTTTTTTGATAATAGGAAGAAAGCTTCTATTGGTGTCAAAGAGAACTTTTCCCAATGGTAATTACGATTTTGCAAGAAAAGGTTTTTGGGGGGATTACAGGAAAGGAAGAAAAACATAGCTTGAATGAGCTTGCTGAAATTCAGTCAGTGCCTGATCTGTGCGTCAGATTCAGTCCCAAAAAGTGCTTCAGAGGACATGGGAAGCAATGTTCTGTAGCTTTTTAAAGCAACTACTTCTTTTTCTGAGAATCACATGGCAGCTGAAGAGAGTAACTACTATGCAATCTCAGGAAATGATGCAACAGTTCCAGGTGGACAGTTACAGATAGATGATATATTTGTGCTGCCATGGGCTTTGCAAAAACATTTTCTGAATTATAATGAAGGTATTTTACATTCCTAATAATTATATTTGATTTTAAAAAGTACAGTCATTTTACCACAATTTGGCATTCTTGACTGTAAATTAATTCCAAGTAGTATGTGCTTTCAAAGCTCTGATACTGCAGACGTGTAATGTTATTGTGTGGTTTGTGAGACCAACTGATGTTTATAATAATCAGTGCTTAAACAAATGATGAGGGTTGGATGTTTTCAACTAGTATCTTGCATTTGTATAGGGGAAAGCTTTCAGATATTACAACATATTTGCTTGGGTTAAATGAACCTAGTTTGAAAAACAACCATTTTGCAAAGTCAATACATACTTTGTTAAAAGAATCATCAGGATGAGGATAATTTCCAGGATGCCCAGAACTATACAACTACTAACACTAAATCCCCAGTAAAAACATTTTTAATGATATTTCACATCTCTGTGTTCTGATGGGAAAAAGTCCAACTGGGTATTAATTTGCATTTCTTGAAATTTGAATATTAAACCAGATTATTCAAAAGATCCTTGCTGAATATTTACATATATTAATCCACTGAGTGTGGAAAAAAGACAGCATAGAAACAAACATGTTGATATGGGTTGTGTCTATTTTTCTCTGTGGTTATAATACATAAACATGACATTCTAAGAACCTTTTTCTATCAGAATTTGCTCTACTTAATTAACTGTTGTAATGAAATCAAGCGGTAGTTTCATTTTATTTACCTTATAAGAAAGAATGTGTAGATATCTAGCTAACTGATCCAAGTTTGTGAGTTTCTAAAAGGATGTCAAGGGTTGGCACAGTCTATTGGCTCAGGGTTGGCATACAGTTGAAATTTCTTTCTATGTGTAGGAGTTGATGCCTGGTCTACTTTTCATGATGTCAGGAAGGCAAAAGCTAAGCAGTGTCAGACCCCTTTAATTTTGGGATGGGAGACTATCAGGACATCTCAGGTTTACAGGCGAATTTGTGAAGTCAAAAACACATCCTGGAAGATTGTAGGGGCAAAACAATCAGAATTCATTACCAAGATAACAACATGTATTTGCCACATATAGTCTGCAACCTGCCAAAGAATAGAACGCAAGGAGAGAACAATAAAGAGAATAACATTAAAAACAAGTAAACTGGCACCGCATTTATTATGCTTTTTAATTCAATGTGGTTTAAAAAGAGGTTAAACATTGAGATGAAAGAAATGGAAACATTTGCTTTGAAGAGAATGTTAAAGTTACAATTTAGGACAGAGATTACACACTTTCCGCTTATGCTAGGGAAATCTGGCAAAGTAATGAAAAAGGAGAGGTCGACTGGGATCGTATCAAAAGCTCAGGAAAAACTGATGAACAGTAACTGAATCCCAAGGCGTGGAAAAAGGTTTCTGAAGAGGATGATGCTTAACTAGCCACCCACTCAGTCATTAAATACCAGTGTTAAGTAGTACTCTTGTGCTAAAATGAATAAAATAAAACTCTGAAAACCATGCTTTTGGCGATGCATGTTTCAGGATTACAGAGTCAGCTGTTTGCACATATGTGCGTAGGATTTAGTTCAAAATTGTAGGGTAAATTGATTAGGAATTTTGATTTGTCTCTAATTATGCAATCGTTCAACAATCAATCTGTACTAGAGTAGGAAGCAGGAATTTCTTAACAGAAATGAGAGCTTGTAGGAACTGGATTATTCTTTGATCCCTTTCATACCCAATGCAAAACTAATTTCATCCTCTCTGGGAATTATCAGTGCTAGGATAAATGAGTACAATTCTATATCCACTATTTTTTAAACCACTTCCCTAAGTGCTCTTCTTCTATTCTCCGTGGCAGTTTCTCAGGCCCCGTAGCTTTACTTCTTATTCTACGGTAATATTTGGGAGAAACATATTTTTTAAAGAAATTTCCAAATGAAGAGCAAAGAAACAAGTTCGTCTTTGCTCTTCTCTGCATGAGAGTGGAAGAAATCAGTAACATAATCTCTAATTTGCAATAATTTATGTGTAATAAAACATTCTATAGTTTATTGCTTATGAATACACATATATACTAAGGATGTGATAGTTCAGTGGTTAAAGATGCTGAGTTTGTCACCTGGAAAGCTGACAGCCTAGGTTCAAGACCCCAGTATTGTGTGATGGGGTGAGTTCCTGTCCTTGCTCCAGCTCCTGCCCACCTAGCAATTTGAAAGCATGCAAATGCAAGTAAATAGGTACTACTTTGGTGGGAAATGTTCTGAGTGCTTCGGTGTATAGTCATGCCGAAAATATCCACAGAACGGACATTCCATGGACCACGGAAATGTCTTTGGATAGTGCTGGATCTCTAACAAAGATGAGCACCACCCCTAGAATCAGACCCCACTGGACTGGGCAAAACTTTACTTTACCTTACACTTGTATACTTTTTCTGTGGTAGTATACTAATAGTTTGATGGACCCACTGTAGACTGTTTTACTTTTTGCTTGTTAATCTTTTCCTCTCTGTCTTTATCTCTCTCTCTCTCTTGCATACGCATAC